ACACAGCCTTTGTACTGGTTTAACTAAATCTGTTAAAAAAAATAAAATAAAATAAATGAATAAGAACGCCTTTATTAAACCAGAGCAATTCTGTGCATAGACTAGCCTTAATTATTTCAGACCTAGTTTGCTATATCAAGGGAAATGGAGAAGAGCAGAACAAAGGGGCCACTGATTCACTGGCAATTGTTTAACTGACATCATGGGAAATATGTCAGCAAGACAAAAGTTCAACACAGATGTTATGATCTAACATTTCAGCAACAAACATAAAATGCTGGAAGTTGAGGTTAGCAATTAATTCAAAAGGAAATGAGACTATTAATTGAAGTTTAAAATGTTGAAAAATTAGTCGACTCACCGTATTAGGAGTTTCTTCAAAGCAAAAAAACAAGAAAAGGAATTGCTCTACGTTTAAAAAGTCAGTGAGAGCAGAAGGGACGCAACATCTTTGAAAAATTAGGTTCATGAGGCCAGACTGTCAAAAGAACTCACCACCCAGCAGCTCCCACTGGGAGTCACGCTTGAAAATATGTCCATTTCATTTAAGTGCCTAAATGGGATAGGAGCAGTTCTGAAAATATGGCCTTAAGTGTCTTGCCCTGGAAAAGTTCAAGTGCTAAGTAGCACGTAAAGCAAAATATCACATAGAAATACGATTCTACACGTCATTCCAATATGGAATCCAAATACTGCAGTCCTCAGATGAACATGCTGCACATACCTGCCACACCAGGAGACCTGTAGAATGATACTCTCTAAGAAGTTTTACTGAGGAATTTTAAAACTTTTTACCATGAAGAGCCAACTACTGAATGTGAACAAGGAAATGTCCCAAATGGTAGCAAACTCCAATCACTGCTACATATTTCCATAAGAACTCTACTGTTGATTGCTCGTATCCCCTACCCCCATCACCCACAACAGGTAAGATTCATAACCTACCTTCTACATCCCAAAGGAGGTTGGGAACAGAGATCTAGTTTCCTTCACACAACTGTTCCCTGATATCCGTTAGCACTTCATCTCTTAAGTTGAGCAACAAGTAGGGGGAGAGTTAATAACTTCCCTATACATCAGTCTGAGAACCTCAGACTCTAGTCAACTCACTTTGCCCATTCTGGGGTTATCCTCCTCAGCCTTCCCAACCACCACTATGACCCTTATTAAGAAGAGATCTGAAAATAAAGAAATCCAATCAAAAAAGTTTGATTTTTAAATCAATTGTTTTATTTTTCCATTTAAAAACTTTTAAAAGCAACATTTCCAATGTCAAATCTGCACTTATTGCACCTTTCACCCGACAAAAGGCTCACAAGGCACTTTACAAAGATGAGTATTAGAACTAATTTACCTATGGAAAACTGAGGCACAGGGAGCTTAAGTGAATTGCCCAGTATCACATGGCTAGAGTGACAAAGCCAGTAAAGAGAACCCAGGAATCCCAACTGCTAAACACTCCCTCCCATATCATGCTTACATTTTTGAATTTATAACCATGTGTCACAAGAACTAAGTTCACTGTAAACCACTATAATTAAATTGACAATACAAATCAGTTCAATATGTTGCTATCCAATACTTTGTGCACTGCATACCTTTGCAATCCCCATCACAGTAGGAGTCACGCCACATGGATTTTACAGCACTTCCAAATTAGCTTCATAAGAACATTGTCACACAGACTAACTGCAGTCCTTCAACCAGATTTTAAAAAGGTTAATGATAATTGCAATTTACCAAGCTGGATGCAGCACCAGGAAGAGCACTGCTGAGTCAAGATGAAGTTCATTTTCATTTGACATCTTTGTACACTATGTAGAATGTGGATGATGGGGCAAGAAGAGAAAAATCAGAGCATTAGAGAAATTCAGAGATACCTAAACTGGGAGGTGTTGCAAACACCAGGGAGAACTAAGAAACAGTAAGAAATCTAGAAACATTAGAAATAAGGGCATGCACAAAAAGAAATTCAACTTGAAATAAATGCATTTAATACTTTGGGAAATGTAAGCTAGATCATAGGTGGAAGGAAGAAGATACTTGAGGTGATAGTGGACACTAAATTAGACAGGAGTTTGTAATGTGATAAGGAATGGGAAAAAATGTGACCCAGAGCAAAAAGGTTATGTCCTCATCTCTAAAACTCTGATGTGAACTTTATTCAGCTCTAAGCAACCCAATATCAGCACTTACTACTGACAAACTGGAGGACATGGGGGGGGGGGGGGGGGGGGAGAGCAATAAAGTCACTTAAGGGACTGATTTATGAAGAAACATTAAAGTAGCTACATGTGTAATTTGGCTAATGACAACTAAGATGGACACAAACTGTCTACAATTATTTGAAGAGTGAATGCCAGTGAGGGAGAAGGAGCATTGTACAAGTAAGTATAACCAAGAATAATGGCATAAATTTAACGCAAAACTTGGCTAAGTACAAATAAAGTTGTCAAAAGTTAAATCTGTTAGATGCAGGAATAGTCTCCACAAAGAAACCCTCTTGCTTGAGACATTTACAACTGGATTGTCTCAAGAAAATATAGAATGGATTAATCCTGCACTGGCCAGTGAGATGGACCAGATATCCTGAAAGGTATTTTCCTGCTCTAACGCTATGATTAAACAACATACATTTTCTCGCTCTAAATTTATCACCTGAAATATAGAGAAAATTTGACATTTCCCAAATGTCTTTGCTTGAGTACAACTGTGAAAATGGAACAAATTTGTATAATTCAATGGCCCTTCAGGTTTTGTAAACTAGGATTCTGTGAACAAGATAGCTTCATCCAATACCTGTTTGTTCACAGTTCTGAAACAGAAAGACTGGTTTTCCACCTCTCTACTCCCAATCAGATTCTGGGATTAGAAATAATTGGTCCAAATGAAGAACCCTCTCTCTAAAGAGGCTACTGCAGATACAAATACAGTTAACCATACTTCAACAAACTTTACATCTACATTTATGGCCTGTAACTTCCATCAGTTCAACCTTCTTTTTAGACACTAACAGTAAACAGGCACTTCAGTGATGGTTAAACTACAGCCATGAAACTGATTATGGTTGGCCAGAATGATAAATGGTTAATATGTATTCACATGAAAGCAGCCAAATACAATTTTTATTTTTTTTTTAAAAGAAGGGATGTTAACCCTGGTAATAACAAGATTCCAACTCGGGCAATTATATTCTACCCCCATAAAATCCCCTTTGTTCCAGTGAAGTTATTCTTAATTTGTGTCAAATAACTGTTTTATAGAATTTGTGATTCAGAATAGCTGCTGCATTCCACACCACAAGTGATTATATAAATATAATTATTGCCCGTTCACTAAAATATAGTTTGTAAAGCACCATACAATCCCTTTGCATAGTGCTATTGGTTATGGTTAACAATGTGCTTGATGCTGTACCAGACAAACTGAAAAAAGTCCCTACCCCACAAAACACAATGATGAAACAAGACATGCTGAAGAGCCAAGAGAAAGTATGCATATAATTTTATTAATTCATTCATAGAAAAATTTAGTATTTAGAAGGGACCTGAATATGGAGACAGTAACTACCTGCAGAACCGGGATAGAGATGGCATTCCATGCATAGAAAGCAGCATAGAAAAAGGTACAGATAGGAGAATGGAAAGAGGTTATGAAGGATCGCAGTGGAAGTGTGTAAATTACAGCAGAGTCTGGTCTTAAAAAATCAAGTTTATTTGATTAATCTATGCTGATTTTCTATGCATCAACAAGTATTTTTATTTTCATGTAATATTTCATGTAAGAAAAGTCTAACCTGTTGGTCTTTTTCTTTTAGGGTAAGGAAAGAAAATGGGGCCCAATTAATTTTAGCAATAAAGATGAAACCCTTTTGACAAATGAGCCAGTTTGTTTAATAGTTCTAATTTACTAGAAACTGTCACCTAGTCTACCACAGTATGTAAGTGAAAGAGAAGCAATTGTGCAGTAATGGATTAAACACTCATTGCTTCAACAAGTTCTCATAGACTTTGGAAGCCCAAACTTTAACAGTGAGATACATACATACACACACACACACACACTCCCCCCTCCTGGGAAGTGTACTGGAAGGGGTTGACTCCTCCCATCCCCAGGCAAGTTACATCAGTTATTCTAAATATCAGTAGGGTAAAAACTTAATGTTTAAATTGCACAATATATATACTTTCTTAAATAACTGTAGTTATATATACACACACACACACAAAGATTGTGCAATTTAAACATTACGTTTTTACCCTACTGATATTTAGAGTAACTGATGTAACTTGCCTGGGGATGGGGGAAGTCAACCCCTTCCAATACACTTCCCAAGAGGGGGGCTGTTAAAGGGTTACTCCCACTATATCTAGTCTCAGCATTATCCTAGAACCCCATCAAGTTGCTTTTCTGACACCCCCAATCTACCAATCCCATGAGCCCCCTCTACCCCCAAGCCTGCCATCTCCCTAACTCACTCATTTTCACTAGAGAGCCCCAAGCCCTTACGCAGGCCAGGATCTCCCTACTGCACGAGGACCCGCCCCATAGCCACCTGCTGACCCAGAACAGCCCTGCTGCATAGGGACCCCCATAACCCCCAACGGCACAGCCCAGAACCCCTTCTCATCACGGGTCCCCTCATAACCCCCCAAACCAAAGCACTCAGAGCCCCCCACTAAGGAGCCCAGGACCCCTCACGAGCAGACATTTGCACGCCCCCAACCAGCTGTCCGTGGCCGGGGCCCCCCCCCACCAGCCACCGCCCGGGCCCCTCGGAGCCTCCAGCAACCCTGAGCCCCGCCCATCCCTAAAGGGGTGTGACCACACCATTCCCGGACGCTGTTGGTTGCGGCGCCCATCACTCCAAGATGCCCGGTGTACCGATTGGCCGACGAGGCTTGTCACTCACGGAAGGGGCCGGTACTCTCACGAAAACTCGGGGAGGTGAGGGGGGGCCCAGAGCCTACTCTGGTGGGACAGCGGGGGGCCTCGCTCACCTCGAGACCGGGGGGAACACTTGGGTTGCCTCAGGTCCGCACCTCTGCCTCGCGCTGGCCACGGAATCTCGCGCTGACTCCGTCCCTCTCGAGCTGTCCCTGGGTCTCGCGCTGGGTGCCCCCTCCCTCCCTACGCGCGAGATTCTCGCGAGACGTCCAGAAGGGCGGGGCATGGATCAGGGAGAACCAATCATCAGCCCGGGATGGGGGCCAAAGCGGAGGGGTGGGCGTTGCCCGCAAGAGGCAGTGGGTGGAGGGTGCACGCCCTGTCTGCCTTCCTCAGATGAGGGGGCGTTACTGGTCGGGGCCCTCTAGGTGGGATCCCCCACAGAAAAGGCAGCGACAGTCGCCCACTCCCATCACTGAGGGGACAGTGACAGAGTCCCCCGACACCTGCCCTCCAGAGGGGACATTGACAGAGACCCCCACCACGCCCCACCACTGAGGGGACATTGACAGAGCCCCCCCGACACCTGCCCTCCAGAGGGGACATTGACAGAGACCCCCACCCCCCCCCACCACTGAGGGGACATTGACAGAGACCCCCCACCACGCCCCACCACTGAGGGGACATTGACAGAGCCCCCCCGACACCTGCCCTCCAGAGGGGACATTGACAGAGACCCCCACCCCCCCCCACCACTGAGGGGACATTGACAGAGACCCCCACCACCCCCCACCACTGAGGGGACATTGAGAGAGACCCCCCGACACCTGCCCTCCAGAGGGGACATTGACAGAGACCCCCACCGCCCCCCACCACTGAGGGGACATTGACAGAGACCCCCCGACACCTGCCCTCCAGAGGGGACATTGACAGAGACCCCCACCACGCCCCACCACTGAGGGGACATTGACAGAGCCCCCCCGACACCTGCCCTCCAGAGGGGACATTGACAGAGACCCCCACCCCCACCACCACTGAGGGGACATTGACAGAGTCCCCCGACACCTGCCCTCCAGAGGGGACATTGACAGAGACCCCCACCACCCCCCACCACTGAGGGGACATTGACAGAGACCCCCCGACACCTGCCCTCCAGAGGGGACATTGACAGAGACCCCCACCGCCCCCCACCACTGAGGGGACATTGACAGAGCCCCCCCAACACCTGCCCTCCAGAGGGGACATTGACAGAGACCCCCACCCCCCCACCACTGAGGGGACATTGACAGAGACCCCCACCACCCCCCACCACTGAGGGGACAGTGACAGAGTCCCCCGACACCTGCCCTCCAGAGGGAACATTGACAGAGACCCCCACCACCCCCCACCACTGAGGGGACATTGAGAGAGACCCCCCGACACCTGCCCTCCAGAGGGGACATTGACAGAGACCCCCACCCCCCCCCACCACTGAGGGGACATTGAGAGAGACCCCCACCACTGAGGGGACAGTGACAGAGTCCCCCGACACCTGCCCTCCAGAGGGGACATTGACAGAGACCCCCACCACCCCCCACCACTGAGGGGACATTGAGAGAGACCCCCCGACACCTGCCCTCCAGAGGGGACATTGACAGAGACCCCCACCACCCCCACCACTGAGGGGACATTGACAGAGTCCCCCGACACCTGCCCTCCAGAGGGGACATTGACAGAGACCCCCACCACCCCCCACCACTGAGGGGACATTGAGAGAGACCCCCACCACCCCCCACCACTGAGGGGACAGTGACAGAGTCCCCCGACACCTGCCCTCCAGAGGGGACATTGACAGAGACCCCCACCACCGCCCACCACTGAGGGGACATTGAGAGAGACCCCCACCACCCCCCACCACTGAGGGGACAGTGACAGAGCCCCCCGACACCTGCCCTCCAGAGGGGACATTGAGAGAGACCCCCACCACCCCCCACCACTGAGGGGACATTGAGAGAGACCCCCCGACACCTGCCCTCCAGAGGGGACATTGACAGAGACCCCCACCACCCCCACCACTGAGGGGACATTGACAGAGTCCCCCGACACCTGCCCTCCAGAGGGGACATTGACAGAGACCCCCACCACCCCCCACCACTGAGGGGACAGTGACAGAGCCCCCCGACACCTGCCCTCCAGAGGGGACATTGACAGAGGATGACAGTGCTGTCACCCCCCACCACTGAGGGACAGTAAGAGACCCCCATCAACAACCCCCCACAAAGGGACAATGAGATAGCCCCCCTCACCGCCACCCCATGGTGGGTGGGCGGCATGCACCTCTCTGTGGGATGGGAAAAGCCACTGACACCCCCCTTCCATACCCCATAGAGGGCAGATGATCATCCTGCCTCCCACAAAGGGGAACAACCAGTTCTCAAACCCTCCAAGGCCACATTCTTCTCATGGAGGCAACCTACCGACCCCCAACTCCCACAGCGGGATGGCAGGTGACCCCACTGCTCTCTCTCCCCCAGATTTCAAAGAGAGGACAGCAAACTCCCAGTACATGCACAGTGTGTGTCTTCACACCAGCACCCTTCACACACCCCACTTTGTAGATACTTTTAGAGATAATGACTACGTTTCCTTTGTCCAACTATAAAGAGCTAGCTAGCGTACATGTTTTTTTGAACTACCTCCACTCTCTACTAGCTGGAAATCAACCTGTTTAGCTGTGTGTCATCAGCCCTATACTGCTACTATTGATTCCCTCTTGGCAGAAGTGGTAGAGGCTTGTGTTTTTGGAGTATGAAGATCTGGATTCTGTTCCCCTTGCTACAGTGTCCATGGTGAGCACCAAACCTGATATCCATGAAGTCTTAGGTTTGTTACAATGCTTGCTTTGAGAAGATTTGTTCTTTGCCAATTACTCTAATTCCTCTTGGATACCAATAATAACAATACAGCACCATGTAACTTGCTGGTTATTCAAAGCAACCCCTCCTTGCAAAAGAGATATTTGAAAACTAAGCCACCCAAGATGCATAAATGTATGTTTGCCCCTGAGTAGTTACCACCATTTGGGATTTTGCCAGGTTGCTCCCATTAGGAGGACAAATGAATAAAGTGAGTCAGGTCTATTCTCTGTGTATATTCTTTGTAACTAAACAGGTTTGAACTAAGTCCTTCTTTGCTGAACAGAGTAGCAATAAATAACAGCAGGCAGTTTCCAAGCTTGACTCTCCAGACAGTCCTGTGCCCCAAGGCTTTTTGCCTCACACACAGCTTGCCAGTTGCTCCTGGATATGTAACCAGGGAACTCCGGGCCCCCCACCAACCAGTAACTCAACTCTGTGACCCAGTGTCTTGGGCAGTAGCCTGGTATTGTTTCTAGATAGATATCACTACATAAAGGGACTTAATTGCTCCTTCCATTTAAACTGAATGAAGAGTGCTTTGCATACCCACTGGCTTTGACCAGGTCTGTGATTGTCTGTATATGAAGGACCCTCTTGATGGCAGCCATTAACACCTTCCACCATAAAACATGGAAAAGGCAATGATGTAGCAGATATGCATTTTGGGCCAGGGACAGTTTTATTGGTCTGTGTTTGTACAGTGCTGAGCACAATGGGATCCTGGTCCCTGACTGGGGCTCCTAGGCACTACTGCTATACAAATAAATAATAATTTCAGCATTTTAGGAACTTGCAGTGTGAAAGCTGAGCACTGGGACCTCTTGAGAAGCAGCATGATCCAGTGGATCAGGTATTAGACTGGGAATCAGGAGACATGGGTTCTTTTCTTGGTTCTGTCTCTGACCTGCTGGGTGACTTTGGTCAAATAACTTCCCCTCCATGACTCTGTTTCCCCTCCCACCCTTTGTTTTGTCTAATTAGATTATGAACTCCCCTGAGCACCTGATAGTTAAACCAACGTAAGCACCAACGTAGGCCCAGCTAGGTCAGTGAAAGAATTGTTCTGTCAACCTAGCTGCTGCCACTCAGGTAGAGTATTACCTACATCGATGGAAAACCCCCTTCCATCAATGTAGGAAGCATTTACACTACAGAAACATAGCTACACTTCTGTAGCTATGCCACTGTAATCCTCGTAGTGTAGACATGGCCCCAGTATCAGTTGCCAGTACAAGCTGCTTTAGAAGATTTACATGCAAGAAATCCCATGATGGACACTTGGGGAATAACCAGCACACAGGATGCACTTTCTTCTGAATTCCTCAGTTACAAATCTGTCCCATGCAGTGTATATGGCAGGGGTCCTGTGGAAAAAGATAGGTGATCGTGTAAAGAAAGACTGTCCTAATGCATATACCCAAGGGAGCAACATTATGCTGTGTGGGCAACTTCTCAATGTTTGATGTTGCAACTTTAACTAGGTTCTTTTAGTGTAGGTTTTGTTGTAAAGAACTAATATATTATTATTTGTATTGTAGAAGTGCCTGGGAGCCCCACTCATGGACTCAGACCCCATAGTGCTAGGTGCTGTACAAACACAGAAACAAGAAGACAGTCTCTACCCCCAAGAGCTGGCTGTCTCAGTGTAAGACAAGACAAACAGGCAGATTCAGACCAATGCTAGTACAGAACCTTGTGGCACCCAGCTTTTAACTTTTTGCCACCTTGAAAGCTGTTTATTCCTTCTCTGTTTTCTGTCTCTTAGGCTATGTCTACACTAGCACTTTTGTTGGTAAAACTTTTGTCAGTCAGGGTGTGAAAAAAATACCCCCCTGACTGACATAAGTGCCGGTGTAAACAGTGCTATGTCAGAAGACACTCTCCTGCCAATATAGCTACTGCCGCTTGTTGGGGGTGGTTTCTTTATGTCAATGGGAGAGCTCTCTCCCACTGGCATAGAGCATCTGCATGGCAGACTTCTGTAGTGTAGACACAGCCTTAGACAGTTTCTGATCCATGATTGTAGTTTGCATCTCAAGATTCCTTAAAATAGCCTCTTGCGAGGGAGTTTGTCAAAGGCCAAACAAAGATTGAGCAACCAGTTGCCTTTTATCTAATACGGTACTGACATGCTCAAACAATTCTAACAGATTACAGAGCCATGATTTTCCTTTGCAGAAGCCACACACTAATTCCCAACATATCACATTGTCCTAGAGGTTTTATTATTCTACTTGTAATCGTTGGTTCAGCCAATTTTAACCTACTACTGAAATTCCCAGGATCACCCCACTGCCTTTTAAAATTAAAAATATTAAAGATAGGTACAACAAAAGAGAAGACC